ACCATGTCTGCAGTCTTTCCTCTGCGTGTGCACATCCCTGGTGTCTCGGCCTCGTCTTGTGAGGATGCTAGCAGTACTGGACGCTCCATCCCAATAGTCTCACTTTTAACTCAGTCACCTTTTTAAGGCCGTTATCCCCAGACTGCCACATTCTGAGGTACTAGAGGTTGGAAACTCAGCATGGGAAGTAGCAGGGTCAGAAGGCAGTCCCCTAACTGTGTGGGAAACCGGAAGCCTTTTCCACACGAGTTTTCTCTGCATGCCAGGTGAAAGTTTGAAGAAATATGCCCCCCCATGATGAAAGTTGTTTAATAATTCATACAAAGAAGTAAATCTCCTGGAAGTTCAGTGCTGTGCGGGCGGAAAGGCCGGGCTGTACAAAGAAGTAGGTCTGGGATCAGCTGCTGGGCTGGAAGCAAACAGCATAGTGGATGCTGATGCAGGAAACAACAGGCTGCACTTGGAGACCTGTCACACTGGACCTCTCCCTTGTCCCAGGGCTCCTGCTGGCCCCAGGACAGAGCCTCTTTCTCTGCCATGCTCCCCTCTCTTAAGGGAAGACAGAAATGCAGCTCACTCAGGGATCTGTGGCCAGGCCACCCTACAGAGTTCTAGCCCAAGCCACATGGGCAGAGTCCAGCCCCCCTGCTCAGTCCCAGGCCACCCCTAGTCTGTCATGTGCTCAGCAGCATGCACCACAGCAGGGCCTATCTTCACCCTTGAGGACAAATCCTAGGCCCGTCCACCAAGGCCCTTTAACAGATGTGAAGGGGGAGCTCTGAGAGATTAAGTTCTTGTCCCAGCCCATCAGGGGCAGAGTAAGGATTCAGAACCAAATTCCCCTGACCTAGGTCTTGTGGTTGTTTTTCTCACTCCTGAAACCACCATAGGACTCCTTCTGTGACTGTTTTGAAGTATATAAAACACAATACAAAGGACTTGAAACAAAATTGATTACATTGAAATATATAATTTGTTGTCATTAATTTAAGCAACATGATCTAGGAGCACATCTCAGCATCAGAATTTCAAAGGAGATCTGCAGCAGTTGCAAGATGATGTGAAAAACTGAAAGCCTCATTTGGGGGGGGGGAAGGCTGCTCAGGAACTGATTGGTGGTCAGCATTTGAAATTGAAAGGAAATGCTAAATAATATACCTTTTGATTTTTTTCTTCGAACTGGGGATCAAACTCAGGACCTTAGGTTTGCCAAGCAGGCGCTAATGCCTGCTGAGCTAACTCCCTGGCTAATATGTACTTTCTTACCCAAGTTCTCAAGACCCGGATTCTACTCATAGGTACTGTGAGTGTAAGGATCCAAACAAGCATGCCTCGTCTGTTAGGCTCTGTGGTCTGGTGCCAAGACCCTCTGTAAGGCCATCTCTGGCTCTGAGTGGGGCTGTTAACTCTGGGAAAAGGGAAATTGCTGCTTTCCCCAGGCCTTGTGTTTTGCTCCATTGGGGAAATCTATGCTACTAGAAAAATAAGTCTCGGTACTTAACGCTGGGCTAGGGCTTTCCTTGCCTAAACCTCACAGTGCGCAAGGAGGGGTGCTAAGAACCATCCCTGTGGCAAGCAGCCTGCCTGCTGATGTCGTCCCTCGTTCTCACTCCACACATACTCGGTGAGAACCTTGCTTTCTGCCAGGTAGTGAGGGAGACCTGGTAAGGGCCACAGTCCAGAAGAAAGACAGCCAGGAAGTGGGGCTGATGGTGGAGTTCCTTAAATCCATGTGGGAACAAGGTAGCAGTGGGGTTTCTCACAAACTTCCCTCCAGGGCCAGCCTAGAAATGTCAAGCCATACCCAGAAGTTCAGCTAGGAAGTGGAAAGGGGTACAAGGCAGCCTTGTAGCACTGGGGTGGGCATGGAAGTCGTTCACCTGGAGGGCAGCAGGCATGGGAAGGTGGCAACATTCATCATCCTATGTAGAAAGACGGATTAAAGTGGCTTTTAGGCAGACACAGGGACCAGGGTTTGATCCCCAGTGTGCCATGCCAGCCCCACCCCCAGGGTGCGCTGGACTGGGTGTGGTGGCATATGCCTTTAATATCAGTGCATGGGAAGCTGAAAACAGAAGGATCACTATGAGTCCGACCTGTGTAGTGAGATTCTGTAGACCCTGCACTAAAAAAAAATAGAATGCTTACTTCTTCCCAGGACTTGGAAAGTAGGAGCACTCATCAGCTGCTCCTCTCCCCCCGTTTGTCTAATTTGGCCAGGAGTAGAAAGCCTTGCTTCGCAAGACCCCAGAGTCTTTGATAGCTTCTTGTTCCCAGGCCTTGATTTCACCTGCTTGTTCCTGTTCTGGCCATGATGTTGAGACTGGCTCTGTTCCCGACCAAGGCCATCGCTGCCTCACTCCCACTAGCCATGTGGATACAGAATCAGCAGTCCCCCTTTGGTTGTAGTCCAGGTTATTCATAAGCCAGGTAGAGTAGTACAGTTAGTACTAAACCTGCAACAGCAGAGAAGTATAAAATAATTAAGGCCTTGCAGGGTGCAGTTCCCTAAAATGGTCCCCACTCTGGTGTGGCCCAAGACATGCAGGACAGAAGTAGCTTGGTTTTATCTCTGCAGCTAGAGGCTGAGTCATGAGAAGCAAGCCCACAGGGGATTCCTGTTAGTTGGCCAGAATCCTCTCCTTCTTAGATACAGAGATCTCAGGATGACAGGCGGAGGAGTGCTGGACATGGAATCAAACAAGAGGGAGCTGTGGGAGACGTCGCATCCACCAGCTCCATGGAGGGGCTGTGCCATGGAGCCCACCTCTCGGGCCTGCAAGCAGACCAGGCTACCTAGCCCTGCCTTGACAGGCCACCTTCTCCATTGCCTTGGCTCCAGCCTCTTTCACAGTCAGGCCTGCGTTCAGCATTGGAGCCTGCCCTTCCTCTCAGTGCTGAGGCACACCCAGCTCCAAGGCCTCTGATGGTCCTTCTGCACCTGGCAAGGCCCCTTCACAGGGAGCACCAACCCCGCTCACAGTGCCCCATTGGCCCCCTGGGAGATGGATTGTTGATATGCAGGAAAGACCAATTTAGGACACATTTGAAGTGAATCCTTGTCTAAAATAGTAATTTATTTAGAGTACAGCCTAATTAGTAGCACTAGGTTGCCTCCCTGAAAAAGCTCAAAAAAACAGAGCTAGGCGCTGTGATCCAATGGAAGAGCAGCGACCGAGATGACAAGATTGAAGGCCGTTGCCAGGGGCCTGCTGGCGAGCGACTCACTTTCTCCGAGGCTCACTGTCTTCAGCAGGGTTGTGTGAGCCTGCGTGCTCAGGCTTCAGGGCCAGGGTGAGTACTGCGCCTGGACCCAGTTGCTTCTCTGGCAGTGGCAGCTGCTGCTGCAGTGTTGGAATGTCTTAAAACGCTATTTTTTGCTTGATAGCCCGCTTTGGAATGGAACTGTTCCCAACTGTCTTAATTCTTGTTTCTGCACAGCTGGGACAAGTCTAGCAATGTCCGTTTAGCTTTTCCCTTCCATTTCTGTTCACAGAGAGCAAGCCAGCCTCATTTCAATAGAAAGCATTTATTTCAAGGCCTGTATTTTCCACCTTTTGGTGCTTAAGCTAAATGTTTAAGTTCTAAAAAGTAGTTTTCTGCAATTAGGAGATTATTGAGAATAAAGGAAAATAATTCTGCTATTTGAGATTCAGGACCCATGTTGTATAGAAATTATGTCACTCCAGTGGCCACTGTTTCAGGAAGGCCTGGTTCAAGGCTCAAACTCTACAACAGGGGTCTCAGATTTTAATAAAACCAGGTAAGGGGTGCTGAGGCAGGGGAGAGCAAGAAAGGATTTTGTTTGGGGGATGAGTGAAAAGGAGGAGCACTTGTTTTCCATCAGACTTGGCTAGGATACACTTCTAGCAGTCTGATGAAAACCCTGCACTTACCAGGCCACAGGCCTAGGGCCATCTCATTCTCCTGCGGCCTGCTGTGGTGGGGTAGAATTGAGCAGCTGGCTTTGGCTTCCAGTATCCTCAAGCACTATGTCTCAGAGGCTCCCCCTGCTAGGGACCTTCCAGACAGAACAGTTGCTCCTGAGAAGTAAGGAAGAGAAAGGTAGTTCCATCCCCGTGAACAGCTGAACATAAGTCAAGCTGTTGCTTGTGAGAGAGCAGGGAAGATTAGGACAGTGTTACTAGTCTAGTATATGACTGCCACAAGTGCACTGGAGACCCCGGTACGTTGGAGGCGCCGGGCAGGGCACAAGGGAGAGGACCTGGCAGCAGAGCCCACCAAGTTGCAGGGGGCCTCCCAGACCCTTTAGAGTTCTCATCCCACCATAGCTTGCCCGCGGTGCTGGGCATGGAATTACAGGATTTAACATTTGCCCTATTGTGTTTCAGTCTTGCTTTGGTCCTATTTCTTCCTATCTCCGTTTCTCCTTTTTGGCATGGGAATGTTTACCCTGCGCCATGGCATGTCAGCAGTGTTTAACTTCTTCTTGATTCTTACAGGGGCTCACAGCTAAGAGTTTGCATTACATCTCAGGAAATTTTGACTTGGACTTCCATGCAGTGGTGGAACTGCTAAGACTTTGGCAGCTGTTAAATGCACTTTGCATCCAGAGATGTGCATGAATCCTAGAGGCTGGGGAAGAATGTTACAGTTTAAAGCTAGGTGTCCCTCCCAAGAGCTTGTGTTCCCAGACTCTTTCTTGGAAGAAGCCTGGATCATAAGGGTACTAAGACTGACCTGCTGTTACGAGGTGCCTCTGGTCAGAAGAGGCAGGTCACGGGGACACAGGCTGGAAGAATAGCTCCCTTCCCAGCTCCTTCCTTCATTCTCTGCTTCACAGGCACAGGAACATGCAGCTTTCCTTCACAGCAGGTCCGGCCCCATTCTGCTTCTGGCCTGGAACCAGCCAACTACATACTGAAACTTCTAAAAAGACCATGAGCCTAAACAAGCTTCTCCTTAGATAATTTGTTGGTGTTAAGTATTAAGTCCTAGCAATGGGAGAGTGATTAGGATGCTGTGTTTTGTCTTTATAGGTTTATCAGCAAGACTGTTGAAAGGATAACTGCCCAAGATGCCTGTCCCTCCCCCACCGGCTCCCCCACCGCCACCCACATTTGCACTGGTGAGTATGTCCTCTCCATTCTCTTTCTACACCTGTGTGTGCATTCTGGCACAGGCGTGATACAGCAGCCTCTGCCCGGGCCCAGAGCAAGCCCACCCCTGAGGCCTTGAGAATCCAAACACCATGAAAGTTTTGGTTGGTTAACGCCTGCTGCCATGCACTGTATGAGCATAATGGCACTCCATTGGTTTCCTTTGGTGCCCATCATGGGAGACTTGCAGGAGCTGTTCTGAGGCCAGCGTGGTCTGTGTCCGCTCAGCATCCAGCCTTTCACTCCTGGGTGGACAGTCAGAAACCCAGGTCACTATGCACAGTACGTTTCATCCATTCTGCTTTCCTTCCTTTGCCCTCCCCCCTTTCTCCACTGTTCGTGAGCCCTTAGCCCTACCACCAGCACCCTTCCCACCTACACTCACATGCCTGTCTTTGCATTTAAATGTTTGCTTCTCAGGGGAATTTCTTCACTGCAGTCACCTGGTCCTCCAGAGGCCTATGGGACAATCAGCGAATGCTGCTTGGGGAGCCACCCAATGGTATGAAATGACTCCCAGGCATACACCATTCCTGGGGCTTCCCCTGTACCTGGGGCCTGCACTACGCAGAAGCTTCACACTGGTGCTCCCTTCACTTTCATATAGGAAAATTGAGGTCATTTTCATTCATCAATCACTCAGCCATACTGGAGACTGAATCAGGGCCTCGCACATGCAAGGCAAATGCTTTACCACTTAGCTTCATCCCCAGCCCTTTTTATTTTACAAAAATTCATTGCTCCTTAACACCTATTATAGATTGAAAAAAGAATTTTAAAACTGAGCTTTTATGTAGATAAGGTTGAAGAGTTGTGATGTGGCAGGCCTGAGTTCTGTTCCTCCCAAAACGTGAGTTGTGCACCACTGCTGGATAGTAATGGATTAATCTATTGAATTTAATGCTTATGTATTTTAATGTGTGTTCTAAAAATATGACTAGCACATCAAGTTCAGGGTTTAACGGTGAGTTAATTTAATGTGTTCACTGAAAAATAGTTATCACAAATAATATGTTGAGTTGGGTTGGTAAAAGTGGTAAATACTGACACAGGTGGCATGATTAAAGTTTGAGGTACCCTCGTTTATCCTATCAAGTAATTTCTATTCTTTATTGCATAACTCAAAGCAAGATCCTGGAGAAATAGGATATAGAAGGTTGGTGGCCATCATGGGACTTTGCCGAGTGGACTGGTGCAGTTAAGTGCTCTGATCCACCAAATGAGAGAGGCTAGCACTGGAGGAGGTCAGGTATCAGAATAAATGTTGAAGCTAAACAGGAAGCCACTGGACATTGTTAACCCCAAATTGTTAGAGGTCCAGTGTGGCATGCCAGTTAACCTCCCTAAGCTTTGGCTTATGTTCATTCTTAAAATGAAAACAGATGGTAAAAAACAAGAGTGAGAACAGTAGAGGATAAACCACTGGCAGAGGCAAGCTGATACGTAGGGCCCTTCTGAAAGGACAGCAGAGAAGCTCTAAGCAGGCTGCTTCCAGGGCATGCTGGGGCTCATGGAGCCCACATTTAACCTTCTCTCTGATTATAAGGAAGACTTTGGAGTCCGACTGTCAGGATTTGAATCCCAGCTCCTCCCCTTCCGGATCGATTATGAGGCAAACAGTAAATCCTCCTTGGCTAGGGAGGTAGCTGAGCAGTCTAAGCACTTGCCTGGCAAGCTCAGGAGCCCAGGTTTGATCCCCAGTACTGCATGCCTTGCTGGGTGCACTATGCTGGCCACCAAAACCAGGCATGGTGGCACATGCCTGTAATCCCAGTGCTGGGGAGGCTAAGACAGGAGAACCACTATGAGTCGGAGCTGTGCAGTGAGACCTTGTACCAATTAATTAATTAATTAATTAAAAATAATCTCCCTGTTCCCCAGTTTCCTTGTCTGTGAAATGGAAATAACAACTTACAGTTGATGAGGGCTAAATGAAATAATACACATAAGGTACTGAAAACAGTGCCTGGCTCAGTGTAAAAGCTATATTATTATCATTACCATAAGCAAGTAATCTTTTATAATTTAATTGTTTCAAGACACTGCCAATTTGATATACATTCCATGTAGCCTACTTCAGGATTTTTCTAAGGTCTCCATCTCTGATAACAGGTGAATAGATGAGATAGCAAGTCCCACCCTTTTCCAGCTTTTCCTGTCCTGGACCTCCCTGGCCCATCTGAAAGCACATCCATCCAGGAGGGCAGGGTCCAGCCTAGGAGAGCTCTCGAGTCTGCAGGACGGACCTCCCTGGGCCCAGATGAGGCCAAGCCAGGTTCCAGTGTGACAGACACAGGCAGATACTTCCCAGTCCATGTGCTGGACTCTTAGTGTCTCTGTCCCCAAATGACCCTGAAGAAAGAAAATTGATTTCCCAGAACTGTGGACATACAGGAACATCCCCAAACATCTGAAAGCAGTACATTTGTCCACTCTATAGGTTCACTAAACTACATTTTCAAATGGATTAAACATCGGAAACAAGTAACCGAAGGGACACCGACTTTAGAGAAAAATGAAAATGTTCTCTATGTCAAAACTCACAAAACTGTAAACTCAAAAGGATTATTTCACCAAATGTAAATTATACCTCATAAATCTCACTTAAATATTAAGCATCTTTGTTAAAATACTAAGAAGTTATTTTCAGAAATTTCAGTGAGTTATGAAAACCACTAGTATTTATTAGAGACCGTTTTCCCCTTGCACCAAGTTAGTTCTACAAGCTGGGAAAGGAATCTCATCCTGCGGGACACACCCTGGAGAATGAAGCCTACAGTGCCCTGCAGAACACTGAGACTGCAAGCTCTTTTATCATGTGTAGCCCCCACCCCCACCTTGGCTCCACTAATTACAGGCAGATTGTGGGCTGAATTTTCAGAGACTTTTAGTTGATTTCCTGCCTTGAAAATGAATGCAATTTACTGCTGCCTCTGCTCTCAAATGTCTAAGTCAAAATTTGTGGAGGATTTATAGCCCATCTCTAAGAACCTCAATAGCAAACTTGCAGCGCCTTGCCTGTCCAACTGAGTAATGCAGTACATGCTTCTAATCCAAGAGCTGCAAACACATTTGTGTGCTTTCCTTTCAGGCCAATACAGAGAAGCCTACTTTGAATAAGTCAGAGCAGGCTGGGAGAAATGCTCTTCTGTCTGACATCAGCAAAGGGAAGAAACTAAAGAAGACAGTCACCAATGACAGAAGTGCACCAATATTGGACAGTAAGTGGAAAAGCTATCTCCATGGCTTATGGCTAACAACTCTACACCTCCTCCAAAAAATATTTTTTTTTTCACAACAGCTGCAAAGCTAGCAAAATAAGGGATTGTTCTACTCGTTGTAGGACACCGCTTTGGCTTGGATTCTCCTCTAATGCAGCAGGAAGCCAGTATAATAATTCTTTGTCTGAAACATACACAATGGCGATTCTTTGAATTATTCACAACATTTTTCTGTAGTTTAACTCATTGTTCCTGGCACCAAAGAAGGGAAGATGCACATGAAATATGGAAAGTGCCCCACCATGGGATCAGCTGATGTGGGCACATCCATTACGTGCCATCTCCAACTCCCACTTGTGAAGTAGAAATGGTCCCTGTTCTACAGACATCACAAGTGTGTTGTGAGCTTCAAGCGCTTTGTTGTCTAACAAGGTAATTCAAGTGTAAGATGTGATTAGCAGAAATTCTGAGACAGGAAATGGAATCACATCTTTACTTATCCACTCATTTGATCCTGAAATAATGCTCTACAGGGCAGGGTATGTATAAACAAGTACCTATAAAACAAGGCTACTTATTAACATTTTCAACAGAACAAAGGATTAGCCATGACTGGAATCCACTGATCACTAAGACACTGGCCTTTTGCACTCGTAGCCCTTTCCACTGTCCACCAGAACTACCAGGACTCAGCCTAGATGACCCTTGTACTCTGAGGAAACACACTGACCTTCTGTACATCACCTCCTGGAGCTTTGTGGAAAAGTGAATCAAGATGATAGATTTTAGCAAAGCTGATAAGGAGTGCTTGGGGAAATCTCAGGGAAAGCGTCCAAGAGCAGAGAAAGAGTGAGAAGGATCAGAGTTAAAAGGGAACTTGGGTGTGGGGAGGAAATGAGAAAGAGGAAGATTAAAATAAGGTCCTTGAACACTGCCCTGCGAGCAGGCAGGGTGCCGCAAATGAGCGCATACCACTCCTCAAAAAAAGGAACTGTGTGGGACTCTTGATTTGAAACCCTGTGACCTCTCAGTCAAAACACTTCTCAGTATCACAGGATTTTCCCTGGGATGAGCCCAGCTAGTCAGCCATATCTGGCAAGCTATGGCCCAAAAGCCATCTGAGATCTAATCCCCTGTGTGGGGGATAGGAGGCCTGCAGCTCTCTCTACCATGACAGGGAGCCTGGTGAGGGCAGGGGACACCTAGTGGGCAGTGCACAGAGATGCAGTTCTATAAAGAGCAGGGCAGCCACCTACAACAAAGAATTGTCCAAAACTAAATGTCAGTACAGTAGCTCCAAAATTAGGAAAACCCACCGAGGACAATTTAAGATCATGGATGACAGACCACCATGCTTTAAAAAAACCCAAAACCTAAGCAGGTTATAAAAATAATTTACCAAGTCCAAGGTTTATCCTATTCTTAATACAAGATTGAAAATTTATCCATCATATCAAATAAGAAAAAACATACAGTCAAATTAATAGATATTAAATCAGCATTTGATAAAATTCCATGCCACAAGAAAGTCTTTAAAAAAATTTAAAACAAAAGGATCCTTTGTGGCTGTAAATATTTGTTAAAGCTTGTTTTAAAATAATAGTTAATATTAGAAGCAATCTCCGTCAGTAATTCATGTTGTTATGGAAGTGCATCCATCAAAGTAATTACCTGTGGAAAACAGATGACACACGCCTCTTAGAAAAAGGATTTAAAAGCTTTATGATTTGTAGACCATGTGTCTACCAGGAAATGCAAGGTCAATTTTTTTTCGGTAAATTTTAACTTAGAATATGTAGTAGAGTGGCTTATTAGTTATCAAATGAAATTTCCTATGCCAATAATAACCAGTTTCAAAATATAACAGGAAAATGTCCCTTTCATGATTTTAGCAAATAGGGCCAGCCAAATAGCTCAGCAGATTAAAGTGCCTGCAAGCAGGTGCAGGGGTCAGGGTTCAATCCCCGGGCCTGCCGTGCCAGCCCTGCCCCTGGGATACACTGAGACAGCAATTGGACTGGTTGTGGTGGCACACACCTGCAATCCCAGCTCTTGGGAGGCTGTAAACAGGCAGATCACCAAAAGTCCAGTCTAGTAGTGAGACCCTGAACACCCTATAGACCCTTCCCTAAAATTAAAAAAATTAAAAAATGATTTTAACAAGCAAAAATGTATTCATAGTTTAAAAACTTCAAAACTTTCCAACAAAATCTGAAAGACATAAATAAGAGATACATATTTCCAAATGTGAAGTGTGAATATATAGTTATCCCAGATTAATTTATACATATAATTTACTAACTCAAAGACGATCTAATTTTAGAGGACCAGAAATCTAAACAATACTTAACCTTACAAATACAAACATACAGCTGGATGTGATGGCACACCCCTGCAATCCTAGCACTGAGAAGGTTGGGGCAGGAGGATCACTGTGAGTTCGAGGCCAACTTGGGCTACCTAGCGAGTTCAAGACCAGCCTCAACTATAGAGTAAGACTCTGTCTCAAAATCAACCAAACAAAACCCATACTGGCTCATGTTCTCACTGCTGGGGCAAAATACCTGATGCCAAGTTAAAGGAAGAAAGGTTTATTTTGGCTCATGGCTTGCAGAGTTTTTGGTCCCTTGGCTGGCTGCAGAGAGGGGTGGCATGGTGGAGGGACGTGGTAGTTCATAGCATGGCAGGAAGGAACTGGAGATATAGATGTGGATATAGATACAGATACACTTTCCTTCCAGGCCACTCCCACTGTGACCCACTGCTCCCCACCTGGCTTTACCTCCCAACATCACACCCAGCTGGAAACCCATCAGTGGATGTGTCCCGTGTGATGCACCCAGGACCCAGTCACCCGCCAAAGCCCTACCTACAAGGCCTTGGGTGAACATCTAGCTAGAAGCATACACACATGAATTCAGCAATTAATTTTTAAGAGGGTATAATCACAGCTCTCACACAAATATAAAATAAATGTTAACCTTTTATTTAACTCATTAACTAAAAGGAACCAGTATGATGTTACTAATTCAAAGAAAAATATAGTACAAAGTATCATACATACAAGTGCGGAAATGAACTCAGGAGTAAAACACATCAGTACCCGGTTCCACTGAACTAAACAAATTAATTTACATTTCTTCAGACAGGTATAATTAGCATTACTAGCAGTCTCCAGCAGCTTACAGTTATTGTATAGCTCAGCTGATCACAGAGGTACATGTCTGTAATCCCAGCACTTGGGGGCTAGACAGAAGGATTGTGAGTTCAAGCCCGGCCTGGGCAGCACGCTAGCTTAAAACAAAGACAAGATGGGCTTGGTGGTGCCTGCCCTTAATCCCCAGCCCTGGGGAGACTGAGGCAGGAGGAACACTGGAACTTCAAAGCCAGCCTGAACTACATAGTAAGAGCTTGTCTCAAACGAAACAAAACAGCTCAAAGATAGTAGAGAATAGTTCAGAAAGCAAAACAGGATACATAGTGATCTTTTTCTTTCTCTTTTGTTTGCCATTTCAAAATCTTTCACCATTTTTTACAAATAAAGGCAAAATAAAAGATTATGCCCTCCTAGTTTGCAAAATTTTTTAAGTTTGTTAATCCCACTGTTGGGTTTTATGATACTAAAAAATAAAATCAACCTAGGAAGCCATTAGATAAGTAAGTGGTTAATTAAAATATGATACATTAATGTTTTAAAATATAATATAGCTCCGTAATCTCACGTTTTCAAAGAATAATGACATGGTAAATGCTAACAATAAAGAGGTTAGTGATTTTTTTTAATGTTCTTTCATTATTTTATTTTCCCCTTTCTTGGTGCTACAAAATGAATCTAGGGCATTTGCTTTAAAAAAAAAAAAGCATCTTGCTAAGTTTCCCAAACTGCACTCAAACTTGTTATCCTCCTGCCTCAGCCTCCCAGAGTACTGGGATTACAAGTATGCACCACCATTCTTAGATGAATTTGTTCTTAATTATAAGAAAAAACATAAAGTGAAAAATACAGATAAAAAATATACTTCAATACAGGATATTTTCAAGGAGAAACCTGAGATACTTTAATTTCTTCTCTTTTTTTCTTTTTACTATTTCTCCTTTATTCTTCTTATTGTTTGCTTTTTCCTTTTTCCTCACCTTTATTACATCTCTCTCCCTTGGGACTCTTCCTTTGTATGTCTATTTGCCAAATCTTAGAATATAAGACAAATCGATATCAACACGCAAGACAGCCAGTCAAGCAGGGTATGAGGACCAAACATCATCTCTTTCGGTTTCTTCCTAGTGGGCTGGCTCAACCTGCAGCAGAAAGAAAACCCTTCTTTTCTGCCCAGGGGTAAAACACCCCTAAAATCCTGCAGCTGAAAGAAGAAATCCCGGCTTCCCCCAGAGCCCCAGGCTTAGCCTCCGTCCTCCCTGTGCTCTCCATGGGCTAGGCCTGGCGCAGCGCCCAGGTGAGCACTTCCATATTTGTATGTTCTTCCTTTTGCAGAGCCCAAAGGAGCAGGTGCTGGCGGTGGAGGCTTTGGTGGAAGCAGCGGGTTTGGCGGAGGAGGGGGCAGCGCTGGAGGAGGAAGCAGCGGCAGTGGTGGAAATTTTGGAGGCGGTGGACCCCCCGGCTTGGGAGGACTGTTCCAGGCTGGAATGCCCAAGCTAAGATCCACGGCTGGCAGAGATAATGGTATCAAGTTTCCTTCTCTGAGTAGCTGAAGATGAGACCAAGTTTCCTTCTCTGAGTAGCTGAAGGCGAGGCAGACTTTGCAGGCTTGGCAGATCTACCTCAGGCTCTGTGCCCTTTAGAACATTTTACATCAGTTGAGATGTTATCCCTGTTCCATAAGAAAACCTCCTTAGCTGGCGCTTCCTTCCTTCCTTCCTTCCTTCCTTCCTTCCTTCCTTCCTTCCTTCCTCCTTCTGCATTCCCTCCTTTCCTTCCTTCCTCCCTCTGCATTCCCTCCTTTCCTTCCTTCCTCCCT